GGAGGAGCGCGGGCTCTTTTCCCGAACAGCGGCTGGTAATCGTGCCTACTAAAAGTCACGACTCAACGAAAATGCCTTGTGTAAAGTCCCGTGTAAAATGGAAGTATAAAATGCCAATAGAAATAGGAAAGAAAGAAGTTTAAAAAGGTTTCCGATGTGCAGCTGTTATACTGGTGACCGCTGGACTTTCTAAAAGATCTTTCCATTAACACTTGTAGTCTCTTGGTTTCGCCATTATCCATTGTATTATTTTTGCTTGGATGGGCAATAGAACCGACCTAAAAAAATTGATGTTCATCTTAACTTCTTGAGGTTTTTCTTAAGTTTTACTTTCGGTTTTGAAACGTTCGTATTGAAAGACGAGGAGAAAATCCCTCAGGATTTGCTTGAAGGGACTTGACCTAGCAATTTTTAAAGTTCCGCGGAGATTTCCCCCGCAAAGCAAAAAGAGTCACGACTATACCCCCCAGATTCAATATCCCAGCCACGACAATACACGTGCACCCGCGGGACTCATCAAACTTGTTCCCACAATCATACTTGCTCTTATACTCGGTTTCTCATAAGAGGAATTGGAGGAGAAGAAATTCATTAACATTGTTTTCTGAAATAAAAAGGTACCAATAGGGTATTCAGTTAGACCTCGGATTCAGACACGTCATGCAACCCAACGGACCAATGACATGATAAGTGCATCAAGAGCCAATCACATTGCACGCAGTGGTCTGGTGAACCCGAAGGTAAGCTAAATCGTCACAAAAGTTGGCTTTTTGTTCAGAGAAGAAGACAGACTGTAAAATTCCCTTTTGTGGAGAAAAGGTATCGGACATGGATGACATGCAACCTTACGATACAGTTTGCGGGCTGGCCCATGTTCGTCCAACAAAACATCGAACTTCATTTGTAGTCCTCCCAGCTCGTGGTTATGGCCCATCTTTTGCCGTCAGAACCCTTCATATCTCGAGTCAATCTGATACATATCGCGGAAGTGAACAAAAGTATGGCGGAATAATTATTTACGCCCGTAATGGGGAAACACATTGGCAAACTGATAACAACACTCACTGCAAGAGTGGATATGTGGTAATTATGCAAACCAACACCAAAGCTTTCAAAGATCTACAAGCGAAATGGCGAAACGAGCCAGGCAAAGTACATGGCATCATTTACAGAAAAGCATTTGGGGAATCTTGCAAAGGTATGAAAGTGGTCGGAGAAGGTTTTGGAATAATGAATGGGGAGTTCAAGATCATTTCAAGAGCGTTTAATCCCGTACATGACGATTACCACGACAACAGTTCCGGCATGAATCAAGATTCAGCCCGATATGTAGAGGCAGTTGTCAATATCTGGAAGCGCGCGGGACCCAACTTTCCTCTGAGACAGAATTACAGTGTGTTGGAATTGAAAGACTATTTTGTTTAGAAGATGCTCTCTGATTCTGTCCTTTAGTTTAAACTATGAGTTTTTATAATAACTGATTCCTTTCCTTAGTGTAAATTAAATTCGCAAAAGAGAATTTGTCCACACAACGGCTTATAAACGGTTAAATAACTGTAGTCCTTCTTCGTGCTTGTGGTTATATCCCACAGCGCACTCTCGATTCCCAGAAATTCGTTGTTTACAGATATAGGATACTGAGCGTTACGTCTGCTTCCGCTCTTAGGTGCTGTCTGGGTCAATAAACGTTCTCGGAAAATAATAAATAGTTTGTATTTTTTCAAGGAACCATGCGTGATCCTAATAGCAGACAGCTTTATGAACAATGAAATTGCCATGATACAAAGACGCCACTGACGTGTACCAAGGAATGACTAACAATAATTTTTACAAAAATGTGAAGACTATAATACGTTATTATGATTTGTTTTGATTGTGCTTTGTCATTATCAAGGCAACTAAGGATCGATGGACTTAGATTTGAGACGCATACTTCAAAAAGAAATTGTAAATTTAGTTGAATTTCATCTTCCCCTGTGCGATTTCAGCCTTTGGTTCTGATTAAGGTGCCTTAGTGTAAATTGTATTCGCGAACGGGCATGTGAATGATGTCCATATAAATGTGGGCTTTGCTTCTATTTCACTCAGATCTCAGACATCTTTTATTTACAAATGTCGAGCAATACTTCCGCACCACAGGAATGATTACCTTTTCGGTTAAAAATGACATTAAGGGTCTGGACCCTCCCCTTAAAAGGACTTGAATGGAATCTCAGGAACGGGGATAAATCCCTTGAGTTGCTTACATTTCAAGAGGGACTTGCCCCTGGGACTAAACCTTTTAAGTTAGTGTTTACACGAAGGGAATTTTCCCAGGGACTAATTCCTTGAAGTGTTTACATGAAGAAACTTGTGCCAGGTACGAATTCCTTGAATTGTTTATTCCCAGATTCAATATCCCACACGCGTACATCCGAGGAACTCAATCATACTTGCTCCCATAGCAACAAAAATTGAGAAATTGGAGGAGAAGAAATTCACAAACATTGTTTTGCGGTTAATTAAAAATTACCAATAGTGTATTAAGACCTCGGATTCAGACACGTCATGCAACCGAATGGACCAATGACGTAATGAGTGCTTCAAGAGCCAATCATATCGCACGCAGTGGTCTGGTGAAACTGAAAGCAAGCTTAGTCGACACAAAAGTAGACTTGTTGTTCAGGATACAAGACGCACTGTGCGCAGGCTAACTGTAAAAACGAAAAGGCATCACAAATGGCGGACGTTGAAGATGATGGTATAGATGGCGGTCTAGCCAACGTTCGTCCAGCAAGAGATCGAACTTCATTTGTTGTCTGCCCAGCTCATGGTTGTGGTCCATCCTTTACCGTCAGAACCCTTCACATCTCGTGCAAATCGGACACATATCGCGGAAGTGAACAGCAGTATGGCGGAATAATTATCTACTCGCGCAATGGTGCAACAGATTGGCGTACTGCAAACGACACCCACTGCAAGAGTGGATATGTGGTAATTATGCAAACCGACACCAAAGCTTTTAAAGATCTACAAGCCGCATGGTCATACGAGCCGGGTAAAGTACATGGCATCATTTACAGAAAGGCATTTGGGGAATCTTGCAAAGGTAAGAAAGTGGTCGGAGAAGGTTTTGGAATAATGAATGGGGAGTTGAAGATCATTTCAGGAGCGTTTAATCCTGCGGATGACGATTACCACGACAATAGTTCCCTCATGAATCAAGATTCAGCCCGATATGTGGAGGCAGTTGTCAATATCTGGAAGAGCGCGGGACCCAACTTTCCTGAGAAGCAGAATTACAGTGTGAAGGAACTGAGTGACTAGATTGATCGATTGAACTAAATAAACTCGAAAAGACTAATCAATATGAAAGAAGGACGAGAAATATTTTGACGTTTGTTTCGATTTCTAGGAAAGCAAGGAAGGGCAGGTGTTTAGCATAGTCTCTGAAAAGATTATTTGTCGAGAAGAAAAAGCCTTCTTTTTTCTCCTGATTTTAACCTTTTTAACTGAGTTTTTCAATGACTGGTTCTTTCTTTACTTTAGATTAAATTCGCACGAGAGGATATGTAAAAACGAAACGGTTCATAATCATTAAGAATTAAATAGATGCTTGCATGCTCGTTAGTGATATTTGAAAGCGCACTCAATTCTCGGAATCGCCTGGGGCGATTTAAAATCCTTCTAAGAAAAGAATCCATTGTTTGTGGTTGTATTCAACAAGCCATGATCGATCTTGACTGGAGACAAGGAGTTTTTCTAAATATTAAATGTTTCCTGTAGTTCCAGTTATGGAGAAACGATGATTTCTACCACAGCAGACGAAGAATAATTAGAATATTCAGATTATGTCATTGGGAACCAGAGGAGGTTGGACACGCGCCGAACTGCATTATGGTAGAGGTAATTAACCAATCAGGAGCGTTTATTTTCTTGCAAGTCGATTTGGAAGGAATCGTCGCTCGAGGGATGAAGACGATTTCTTGAGGTGTTTTCTCGGCATTAACGAGTTAAGTGATCCAGTTGCTTAACGAAAACGAAAGGTAA